CCCCAAAACCCCAAAACCCCAAAACCCCAAAACCCCTTTAAATAATTTTTAATAGAATTAATAATTACGTCAAATGTTAAAATACATCACTAACTTGTTGGCATTTAACCAGGCTACTCTTAGCGGATGCGTTGATATTGTTGTCATTGAACAAGAAGATGGAACGCTCGTCACTTCTCCTTTCCATGTCAGATTTGGAAAACTAAAACTACTCAAATCCACACAGAAAGAGGTGAGTATTAGCATCAATGGGAAAAAGAGTCAGCTCAAGATGAAAATAGGCAAATCAGGAGAAGGTATGTATCTATTCAGGCTATGGTCACCAAAGGTCAATAAGGATAGCTCAAAATATTATTTTAAATAACTTTCTCGATTCTAAAGATAATAATCCTTCCTTTTAGCATACTTTGTAAAGCATGTCAGTGAAAACGAGAAGGAAGAAGAAAAAGAATCTATGCCAAAGCAGATCAGCAATTTGAGTAATTTAAAAAATAGCGAAGATGACCTTTTCAAGCCTTCTAGTCCAGGTATGCTCTTGATACGCTTCAATCGATTGATTCATTAAAAATATTATATCCTCAAAATCCTGACTGATTATAGGAGTGGTGCATGATGGTTATGAAGATCTTGATTTCTTCGGACCAAAAGATAAGGTAATTCATTTAAAAATATTTTGGGTATTATTCAAAAGAGCTTATCAAATTCTGATAATTCTACGAAAATTAGTGATGTAATTTGTACACCTTATGAGAGTGAAATAACCCAATCATTTTTATTCTTCAGATAGAGATTAGCAACGATGTTTTCCTTCAGGAATTTTGGCAGGAAAATCCTCTAAAATATTATTAAACTCTAACTTCAACTTTTCTGTAGAGAGAAGTCAAGTCTGAATGGAAGAAGGACTCTGAAGATTCAGAGGATCTTGATGAGTATAACGTCACTGATTCAGATGATGATTCTATTGAAAAGACCAGATCTGAAGAGAAATATAACCAGATTATTAGGAAGATGACAGAAGACGGAGGAAATAAAAGTAAAAGCCTCTCAGACGAGAAGGATAATGATAACAAGGGATTTGACAGCCCTGATAAGTCTAACAAGAATGGATCAAGGTTTGGATGGCTATGGGGAAATGAAGATCAAGATTCAAATCATAGAAATCATAGGAGAGCAAAAAGTACTAGGAAAAGATCTATGACATTTTCCCAGGAGGAAGAAAAGGGAGATATCCCAATTCCTACTAAGTATGACAGCTATCATGAGTCTAAAAGTGAGGTTGGGTTAGTGAACCCTCTTTTTGATGAAGAGAAGATTAAGGATCTCCAGAACAAAACTGAAGATATCGATGAGTTAGATAATGACCAAAAAGTGCCAGGAATGAATAATGTATCTCCAAATAATAAGAGAGGTATTTTTAGAAAGATTTTTGGATTGTTCAGAAGCAAAGATAAACAGGAAGAAAATCCTCGAGATATGTTTAAATTAGAAAAGGTCAAACCTAAGGAAGCAGATTCTCCTGACCTCTCTCCTGCCCTAATGAAATCTTTCAAGAGTGAAGTAGGCATGAGCTTGTGAAAGAATCAACTCTTTGTATGAGAAAAGGATGAGGTTGATCAGATTTTTGAGCAAAATGAAGTATCTTTTGAAGAATTCTGAGAAAGATACGAGGAAATTATAGAGGATACTAATCTTATTCTAAGAGTAAGAGACCAGATATATGACTGGAGAACAGGAGCAGCCATTATTATGTCAGAGCTGATCTTTGGAAGAACTCTAAAATCAAAGACCCATGATTTCCAGCAAAAAGTAGAATCCTATGCTCAAAAGGCCACCAAAGATGATTCTGCTGAAGAGGCTAAAAATTCAGCAGAAGAAGGTAACCAAGAAGAGATAAAGGTTGAGAAAGAAAGTAAGATCCTGAATGAAAAGAATAAATCAGTTCCAGAATTTAAGAAAATTTCTAAGATAAGGAAAACGCTCTCAGAAAATCCCAAGGATGCGATGTATCTCAGAAAAATTGATCACCACGATTTTTCAGATTCTGACTGAGATATAGAAGATGATATTGAGGACCAACCTGGACCAAGTATTAATGAAATCAAGGATATTGAGATCCCACTAGAGAGAGCTCTCACTACTTTGGAGGAGAAGAAAGCTGAGACCAAGAAGAAATATAAGAAGACTTTATTCCTTACATCTGAACAACTTCAGCAGTTAGATCTCAACTATGGTAAAAACGAAATTACCTTCACTGTGGACAGTGGCTTCCAAGGTCTACAAAGCAATACTTGTAGACTATTCTTTTGGAATCACAAAGTCAAGATCGTGCTCTCTGATGTTGATGGGACGATCACAAAATCTGATGTTCTTGGTCATATCCTTCCAAGATTAGGCAAAGATTGGTCTCATGAAGGAATCACTAAATTATATACTGATATTAAAAATAATGGTTATGAGTTCTTATATCTAACTTCGAGAGCTATTGGAATGGCTGATTCAACAAGGAACTATCTCCAAGAACTTGAGCAGGAAGGCAGCTTCAGGCTACCTGATGGGCCTTGAATAATGTCCCCAGATCGACTTATGCACTCATTTAAAAGAGAAATAATTGATCGCAAACCCCAATTATTCAAGATAGCAGCATTGCTAAATATCAAGAACTTATTTAAGGACAATCATTCTCCATTTTATGCAGGATTTGGAAACAGAGAGACTGATGCTATTTCATATAGAGCAGTTGGAATAGATTTCAAAAGAATATTTATAGTAAACCCTCAAGGAGAGATAGTTATACTCAAGTCAATGTACAAAAAGTCCTACCCATTGATTAATGAACTTGTAGATCAAATGTTCCCATCGGTATGCAGTAAGAAACTATTTTCCTTTTTGCATTAAAACTTGAGAATAACCTAACCAATATAGTTGCGACGGAGAGGGCCAAAGAAAATGAAGAAAACGAAGATTCCAAATATTATGACTTGAACTACTTCAAACCTCAGCAGTACTCAGAAGAAGATTTAATTGACCAGGGTTCATAATTCTTATTAAAATATATTATCCAATTCAGATATGCTCGTGAGGGGTTTTGGGGTTTTGGGGTTTTGGGGTTTTGGGG